AATCTCCAGAGAATGCCAGTGTGATTTGGGCCACTATAGGCTGATACCATAGATAGAGGTGGTTATGGAGCTCATCCTCGCAAAAAATAAAGGTTCTTGGAGCTTGGGAAAATTTAGCGATCTCATTGCATTGAGTGAAGCTTTTGGAAAATCACGTTTTTCCAGAAAAGATCAAAATCTTTTTTAAGAATGAGGCTCGAGAAAAACTTTTCCCATGCTTATTGGAAGCCTAACTTCCGCTGATTCCGAATATGGCCTCAGATTAATGCTGACACCAAATTTAAGTCGAGAAAATACGGTTTTTCCAAAAAGGTACAAAATAATAGAAGGATTTTTCCGACTAACTTTTTGCCGAGAGGAAAGGACTTCGGCTAAAAATTCTTTTGCCGTTAGATAGCTCGTCACTTGAAGTATATAGGCCAACCTTCAAATCAAGAAAAATCAAACTTCATCTTTTTGATGAAATTGCGGCCTAATTGCCCACTGTGCAGTACTAGTTATTTTGTAAATACCAGTACTGCAACTTATTTCTAAAGTAAGGAATTTGAAAAATGCAGCGAAGGGTCTCCACCCTCTTTTTTTGTCCCATCCCGTTCCAGAGCTGTAAAATCTAAAATATCCGCCAAATTGGATCAAAGTTTTAAAATTTATATGTTTCTTGTCATGAGAAGTCGGATGACCAACTTGGTCTTTTGAAAATCTTTCGTCGAGATTGTTTTTTTAGAGAACCCGGACTTCTAGAAAATCATTAGATTTTTCAATAGTCTTTTAAATTTTAAGTTTTTGTAGATGTGGAGAAACTTTCAGACCTTTTCCTCTGTTTTTTTGTTTTTTCCGGCTTCAGATTATACTTTCTCCCCTTTGGAATGGCTCCAAAGAAAGGTCATAGTAAAAATAAAAATAAAATTCAACAACGACAAAAAGATGATCGAAAGAAAAGGAAACGAAAAACATCCAAGAATTATAATTTGAATATTAGAGAACAAGACCAAAACGGATTCAAAATCATCATTAGGACAACCATCATCAGATAAAGTCACAGCTAGATGAAAAGAAGGTGTACGTCGACGGGGAGCCTATGTTACGCAGCGTCGTCATCGTATTCTACACCTAACAAAACTATCGTATGTGCACAGAATTCTAGTTAAACGTCAACGGCGTCAGTTACTGGAGCAAAAACAAAAGATTGGACATTTAATGAGTTTATTAAAATCAAACAACAAAACTTCTGGTGATTCTTCTGTTACTGGTAATAATGAAACAATGCGTACTGATGTTAGTGATACGAAAAACATTTTGGTAAAGGTTTATTTATGAATAATGTTAGTCCAAGTGCTCATCAATGAGCGAATGAGCAGAAGGATCTATTACCACATAGACCAAATCGGAGTTTATGTGCTAAATTCGGTATAAACATTTCAAATAGCATTCATGTTTCAAAACATGAACCGTCTGAAGTGGAAAAGCTGTTATAAATTTGATGAATCGTGATGATATTTCAAAAGTATCTCCAGATACTAAAAAAATGATTAATGATATACTGGTCTGTTTTTGTCTTCATAACCTGAATGTACTTCATGAACAATTTCAAGCTGAAACTGGCGCACCCATTTCTTATTCGACATTTTATGATTATGTTCTAATTCATGTTGAAAAACCTAATTTATCCGATTGGGACACATGTATTTGCATTGTGTCTTTGGATCCACCAATTAAATTGGAGAAATTAATTATAACAAAAAAATTTTTTTAATGTATATCAGAAATACATTGAGCTGCATTTGTATAAATTTTCAAATAATCAAACAAATGATCTAGTTCAATTTTATTGTTTTTATATCTTCATTATCTTCAAGCAATACACCAATAAAGTTCTGACCATCGTCATGATAATGAATATCGAATATCTCACTATTAGTCAATGATCTACAAAGAAGAACATAAACTTTTAACTGTTTTGGTAACCTTTATAAACATGCTTACTCTGTTGGCAAAGGTTCAGATAACATTGAAATAGATTCGCTATTAAATTTATGAACTGTATCTGCCGACAACAATCAAACCCATTGTCTAATCACTAAAGTCTCAGTTGTATATTAACAGAAATGTTCTAAAAACAAATCTAACATTATTAAATTGCTGGAAAATGTCTTAGCGCGTAATTAGACTGAAGAGTGAAAAAATGTAGAAAATAAGTTGCCTACATGGATATGGGTTGTGAGGACTTTAAAAGACTAACGAAGGCAGAGATGGACAAGTCTCAGTTACGATTAATTAGGTTTTTATTAGCGACTGAGGCTTGACTAAGACTGATAGTCTACACTAATTTCAAATAAAATAGTATTTGAAAACGTTTTCGTTGATTTGAAATACAATTATCATAATGATTCATGGAGTGCTATATGTGCGAGTGATTCTGGTGATTTTTGTATCGTTTTTAAAGAAAAAAATGCTAAATAATGAAAATGACCAGAAAAATATTTTACGTAAGTTGATTTATATCTTTGTTGACTCCTAATACAAAGATCAGCGGTCAAATGACTATTGTTGGCCTAGCAATACAGCGTAGGTTTAATGCAGGTTTGTAAAGGGTACTCGAAAGCCTATAAAAAAGCTCTATTTTCTAACTACGAAGTCCTTTTCAGCCAAAATCCGGGTTGTTCACTTTTTGACTCGGGATCGAAAATGCGATTTTCTCTGCTTTTCAGCTAAAAAAGCTTAACTGAGCTCAAAAATGTATTGAAACATATGCTTTCACACACGCTCTATCAACTGACAACCTTAAAGAAGGGTTTCTGACAATTTCTAGACTTGGGCATCTAGAAATCCAGGCTTTCTGGAAATCCTTTGCTGAGCTGATTTTCAGAAAACTGATTCAGAGTGTCACCATACATATAATCTTAAAATTTGAGGCTTTATATGGCAGTCATTATAATTCTATAGATATGCTTAGAGGTGCCACAGAAGTTAGGGGTGAGACATTTTGATGTATTTTTCGAATTCCTTCCTTTAGAAATAAGCTGAAGCCTTACTATTTATAGCATAACTTGTGTTATCCATTTGACATATATGGTAAAAAACGAGTTCTTAATTCAGTGTAGTTTGGTCAGAAGATAGTCAAAAGAGGGTGGGACAAATTGTATGTCACATGCCACTAGATGTCAGTAAAATGTCAATTACGAATAAACGAAAAAAGATAGTAACTTACGGCTTTCAACAATCTATAGTGCTTACTTTGGTGAATCGTTTCATGGAAAACATTTAACTTAAAGTGCTTATTGGCTGCGCAGTAGACCGAAAGGAGGTGGGATACGATTTTTCACTTTTCGAGGACCACGAATTCCATTTTCACAGAAACTAAAAAAGATTGGGCAAAACAGACTGCAGATTGACAGAACAGATAAAATACTGCACAGAAAGCAAAAAAAAGGTTTGTTCCGCCACCCTTAAAAGAAAAAACGTTAATTAAGAAAGAAGAACGTGTAGGAACCACTAAGAAAAGCAGAGAAAAATAACTAAAAAACAAAGTGTTTTGCTTACTGTAGACTAACGAAATAAGATAGAAAAGAGATCTTTGCAGTATGTATATAGTAAAGTATCCGGAATAAAATGACATAAGGTTCCAAAAGTTTGTTTAGTATTAACGGAGAACCATGCAAGTCCATTAGCTTAGATCAAACGGTACAAACGTCACCAGAATCACTCGTGCAATATGTCGAGATGATCCAACTGTTTTTTACCACTCATTTTTATCGAATAAATATGACAGAGGAAAAATCCGGCTCAAACTGATTGTGACTGAAGTTTTCGAGAGTGAGACTCAACTGAGACTGAAAAATTTTCTTTCAGAAGTGACTGAGACTGGCCTGAGATTGATAGCTTGGGTAACTGAGACTTGACTAACACTGAAAAACTTGTGACTTGCCCGTCTCTGAATGAAGGGTCAAAAATAAGAATAACCATCTGAGGGCTAAAAGACGAACAAATGTTCATAAAAACTTAGAAGAACGATCAATGAGATTATCAAAAGCTGATCAGTTTATATTTAAATCTTTTATTTGTAAATAATAACAGTGACAATAATCAAAACATGTGATAAACGGAATAGGCTTTTCAAGATACTGTCGAACGCTGAGAAAGTGTGGTTAAGAAACTTAGTTAATTAAATAGAGGATACAACAAGTAACGTTAATCTGATATTCATTGATTGAAGCAGCGTCGTCGCTAAGCGATTACTTAATACAACTTTTTTATGAACAGTTAAACATATGCCTTCAAAACATATGCAGCTCAAAAGCTTAGAATCATTAGCTTTGTTCTCTGGAATAATTAATTAGAGGGAATCGGAAAATATGCATGAGTACCAGTGCTGGGTCCCCTTTCTGATTCTTCACGGTTAATCACCTCATCAATACCCTTTTCATCTTTAAGAATCTTAATCTCAGCCCACTATCCCCATTTTATGCTCTGCAGACACCGGCGTGGTCGACGTTTTTTTGTATGATTTTAGACTTCCAGTCAAAAGTATAAAACAAACAGAGGAGAAAAGACAAAGATCATAAGCGGAGTATTGAGGAGTAGGCAAGAGAATAATCGTTCAAGCAGGTACATGTTTTGATTGTAACTTAAAAACCAGTAGACTTTTCTTCACGAGTATGGAATCGACTGAAAACCATTTCTTGTGATGAAGATAATAGTAACTTGTTTTTACATGTATAAGAAACCCGAAGTGCATGAGAGAAATTTTAGTCGTTCATTTGACTTGGTGCAGCATCCCTAAATGAACTTTTCAATGTCCTCAGTAGCACGGTATTCATATCATTTCTAAAATAAGTCGCGCGCGTAGTTTTTTTTGGTTTGGAATTTTTAATATTTTGCTTTTAAATTATTGAATCACTTAATAACATCAACACCAATTTAAGGTGTTTCAAAGAAGAAAAATCATACCACCACTGAATATTTTAGACAGCAGCGATGAAGACGAATCGGTCAGTGCAAAAATGATTGTGCAACTCCCAACCTCTACAGTTGTAGCAGAAGCAGAAGCTATTCACAGTAATACACCAGCTATTCGCAATGGAACGTTAACTTCACTTTCGCAAACCAGCGTTCTAAGTGAGACAGAGCTGTACGATAATTCTTTTCAAATTGTTGAGCAACGTCATCGACGTAAACGAGTAGATAGACACACTGAACAATACTATGATGCAAGAAATTCTCCTCGATTCAGCTCACTTAATTTAAATCTTACACGAGAAGCTGAACGATATGCATGCCAATTTACATTCCCACCGATAAAAATTTTTTATACTGATGACAATGTAACGTTTAGTGATCATATTGTTCGCAATTTTATATCTAATTTGAAATCGTTAAATAATGGATGTACAGATTTATTATCATTCTGGCGGCTAAGCAGTAATAAGAAAAATCTCTATTTATTTGCGGATGATCGAGAGTCATTTTCACGGCTATTAGTAGATCGTGCGTATCCAAAAGATATTTGTGGACAAGCATATCATGTCAATTATCCAAAACGTATTCCTCCTCCGTTGTGCCTTCTTGCTATAGGTGTTCCAACTTATTTAACAGAAGAGGAAATCATAATGGATATTAGAAGTCAGTATTCTTCTGCTAGTGTAGTATTATTTGATTCTCCGCAGTCTGTGAGATCCAGAAATGTCAAAATTCATTTTCGACTTAGTGAAGAATATTCTAAATGTCTACAAAATGGTTACATCTATATTAATCATCAAAAATTGACTATCAAACGATATTTAGGTACACCACGTGTAATGATATGTAATAAATGTCATGGTTTTGGACACTTTAGGTCAAAATGTGTATCAAAAGTTGAATATTGTAGTGTATGTAGTGAAGAAAAATCTGATAGTAGTCCACATCAATGTCCTAATTTTGAGAAATGCAGAAATTGTGGAAGTACGCACCGTTATAGTGATACCAGATGTCTACTAATCAAAATCAAAATCAAACTGAGTTGCATGCAAATTCACCCTAGGTTGCAATATCCTTAGTGTTCCATAGGTGACAATATGAGGGTTAAGAGTATTCCCTCGCTTTTTGAGCTTTCCGTAGAAATGCTGTGAAATAAAAACTAAAACTCACTAAAGCTTCACATTTCAAAACTAATTGGAAACTCAATGGAGCACTTTTTCGTTTTTGTTTCAAGCTTTTAACTATTACCGTTCACGGCAGAATCAAACAAGTTTCAGGAGAAAGATCGTATTGTTAAACAAATTTTATTTAAAATGAATGCTACTCAGTTACTTGTCGTTCATGAGGAATTCAAGCATAAGCCAGCATTAGGAAAACATATCATTGAAATGGGACACTTTCTGAGCATCACCAATACTCCCATCGTAGCACGAGATAATGGGCATTATATTTTATTAGTGGAAGAATCTCTTGCTATTCGGTCAGGAATGCCGAAATTCAACGCTGAAGACTATTCTGTACTATGGTACGGTGCGTTTTTTCTGAAGAATATTCTGGTTCACACGTTAAAAGGAAGAAAAGCGAAAAAGATAAATAAGACATTTTTTTCTCTATAGTTTAGTTAGCTTCTCAGTTCAGGCTGTTCATCGGCTCATCCAAACGTAACGCTGTTACGTTTTTGACACACTTTTTCTCAATTATCACGGAAAGTTTGAGAGTTAGAAAGTTCGTTCAAACGCCATTCGACGCAGCTCACCATACTCTATGTATGCTATAAAAACGAAGTTTTGGGGTTGAAGTCTCGAGCTTCTAGAAAGGTTTTTTCATCGCGTAACGCTGTTACATAAAAAGACGCTAAATTCGAAGTGCTCTTGCTAAAATTCTAATTTGCTGCGAAAGTCGTTCTCCAAATAAAATGCCTCTGGAGCAAATTTTGTAGAGCATCGAACGAGCTTTTCAGCGGTAAAAAATATTTTCTTCTAACTATTTTTACTCGCGTAAAAAGAGCAAAAACAAACGTAACGTTGTTACACATTTTTTTGTCACACCATTTAAGAGCACTCCACGTTCTTCAAACAAATTCATACTTATAGCCTGAGTGCTTCTAGCCTTCCTAAAGATACTCCACTTGCAAACAAAGTTCCAAAAGGTGCCTCAGGCTTCAAAATCGAGTCGGGAGTTCAAACTTGCAAGCAGCCCTTGTGCCTCGACTGAGAAATATTTCTCAAAACAAAACAAGCCATTTTGTAGAGAATCGAGTTCTCTATTCAACAATATATTTTTAAAATTATTTTACGAAAATCTCTAGATCAGAAACTTAAAATTAAAGTTTTAAAAAATTTTAAATTTAAATTTTTTAATCGAAAATTCAGTTTTTTTTTTCAATAAAGGCTGAATTCGTGATCAGCATGAAATACTTTGTCTGATGATGGGCTCCTTTCGATTTCTCGATGAAAAAAAAAACTTGATCAGCGAAGTGTCGCGTTATGTGGACAAGCCATCACCCTAGAAAGGTAGCGAATTCTTTGCTTTATTTCTTTTAACTTTCTCTTACTAACTACATGTAGTTACATAAGTGTCTGAATTCAGTAGATGTTTTTTGTATATGTGTGCATTGTTAGATTCTGACGATGAACAGGGGATGCTCGAAAGCTTAATTATACGTTGAATAAATAAAATAAAATATGTGCTATCAAGGTAATGCAATAATTCCTACTCCAATAATTTGAAAAGTTCTGCTATGTAATACTGTTACGAAAAAACAGACTACTGAGGAGAACTATATTCATATTTACGTTGTAATGAAATGATATAATAATACCTTTTAGTTTTGACGTTCACAGTGATGAAAGCCTCTGCAAATGTGGCGGGTACGTTTGGTAGACAATGCGAGTACGAGTTAATTACAGCAAAAGAAAGTTTTCAAGCGACCATACAACATCAATTCAAGATGAAAGAACGATTTATACTTGGAAGTCAAATTTACGGCAATATCACTTGTTATCAACCTCATTTTGAATGTGACTATGGTTTGATGTGTCTCGACTGGCGAAATGTTTGTGCTGGAAATCAAAACTGTTTGGATGGGACAGATGAGGATAACTGTGAGAAGCTGGAATTCAATGAATGTCAGCCGAATGAATATCGGTGTTTGAATGGGATGTGTATACCTCATGAGTTCTTTTTAGACGGTGAGTAAAAAGAAGCTCTCACACTCAGTTTTCAACCACAGCTCAACTAGATCCGTTAGATGTGAGTATAAGGAAAGAAAGAAAACATATAGAGAATGATGTGAGAAAAGGAGATGACTAGCAGAAGTTCCGATAAATAATATATGTAGAAAAAGAAGCAATGCGATTAAAAGAAAAGTAGGCATAAATGCAGACGACACATTAATTAGTGGAGTCAATATGTTCTTCCAGTAGGCATGCACCAATACCAATCATTATTGAAGATATTGTACAATATGATTGGCTGTCTAATAATACTGGATCTCGGTATTGTTATATACCCAATATATTGGGACTAATATTATTGGTCCCTCAATAATATTGTACAATAATATTGGGTAATATTGGGTTCCACAATACACTGGATTCAACTTTTTAATCTCAATACCATTTACCGTCATAAAAACGTGAGGAAGCATATTTCGATCGGGATATCTATCCCAACTGGGATATAAAAACGTATCCCGATTGACTGGTTATGCACCGATTAATAATCGATGCTAGGACATTCAGCAAAGTCGTTCTGAATCAGTTATAAGAAAGCACTTGGAGCTGCCCAATGTCTCATTTTGTAGAAAAATCTTTGCTCTATCAAACTGAAGTGCAAGAAGACATTTTAGTGTTATCTGTGGCAGAAACATAACCATCGAAAACTGAGCAAAATTGCGAAAACATAAGTGACTAGCGATTATTATTGATCCCAATATTGTGCAACCAGTATTGTTGGGATTCAATATATTGTATTAATGCATGCTCATTCTTCCATCAGTTAGTTTAATCAATATGTTCACCGAGCAATTAATGTGAACGCATACCGCCACAAAAAACCTCCCACATTTATTAGTGAAATCAGCTTAATCCTTGTAAATATGCCCTTCAACAAGTCATATACGTCATTCGATCTAATCTAACCTTACATATAAACAAAGAAAAAAACCAATAATTGACGTTTCTATTTTCCTTTAAAACTCTCCATTTTAAAACCATATCAGTGTCAAAAACTCATTTTCAGTCAAGGGTCAGTGAATCGAAGATAAACGTTACTTGTACATATGATCGTCAAAAGAGTATTTTAACAGTAAAGATTTTCTTATGTTGATTTTATTGATGATATTTAGCTTCATTACATTTAGTATAAGGATTTTACTAAAATCTTAGATACGATTTTGTATCTACAATCTCTTTTTTAAGAGCTTAGCCAAGATCTTTAAAAGTCTTAAACAAATCTTATTATTTTTTCGTGCCTGCAGTCAATTAGTTTCATAGACGGTCAGAGCTTCTCGCTTCACCATGAATGTATACATTCATAATTATCAGAAAGATTGTGCCGTTTTTCATGTATTCATACAGAGATAGAAAGGTCGAGCATGAAGATACGTCTGTGCTGCCACTTCGGTAATGCTAATACTATGCGATATTTTATACCTTATAAATCAATATGTAGGGGACATTTTGAAATATATAAGCTAAAAGCTGTTCGATCATTGGATCTGAAGTTTTCGAGAAAAAATATTTAAGTTTTCCAAGATTTTCTGCTCGTTTTTTGAAATTTCAATGAAGTTACCACATTTTAACTTACAGGCTGATCAAAAATTCTCATCGTTATCAGATGAACTTTGCCTGAGCTATTCAACTTTGGCCTGCTCCATGGCACTTGGAAACAAAAACTCTTTTTGGAAAAACATCTTGCCAGTACTTTCGCTTCAGGATAGCATTTCGAAGCAAAAATGTGGGTAGAAAACTTGTTCAGAATCCAGTTCTCTCGTCCCTCAGGACAGTTTCTATTGAAATTTGTTATTTTCGATTTTCAAACTTGAAAATACTGTATCTGAAATTTAGTAATCCGTAAAAGTAATTTTAAAAATTTTTAAGAGTAATTAAAAACAATTAAATTGTTCACCTTATATCATGAATAAGTTTCAAGAGATTTATAAGGTATAAAATATCGCATAATATTAGCATTACCGAAGTGGCAGCACAGACGTATCTTCATGCTCGACCTTTCTACCTCTATATGAATACATTTTTCCAAAAATAGTGTTGTTTCCAAGTGCCATGGAGCAGGCCAAAGTCTTAAAGTAGTTTAGGTAAAAGCAATAAATCAAACTGGAAGGATGGTGATATCAAATATCCGTTGAGACCGTTACATCGACCATATTTAACCAGTTATGGACATACATCCGATTATCTCTTTACTGGTAGTATTAAATGTTTTGGGTTTCGGGATACTCTTCCCGATAAAGATAGTATTCGACGCAAATACTACTATGGTGGCTATGCGTCTGACTTGGAGACGTTCTTTTGTGATTTGAACGGATTAGAGAAAAATATAACAGGACCTAAGTATGATGATACATGCTGGAATGATCGATGTTACAGCTGTAACATGAACATAGACTTATTTCCATATACCGCGTCAAAGATGGAATATTTGATTGTCGTAATCGCGACGATGAAAATAGAATGAACTGTCCACTGTTCGCTCAAAAAGACCGTTTTCGTTGTTCGGATGTCGAAAGAACGTGTCTGTTAGCATATGCTATAGGCAACCAACTGTCAGATTGTTCTACCAGTGATCGTGATGAGTATATTAGTGAGATGAACCTCGAGCTACCGAAACATATGTGTGAACGGCCTTACTCCGCCAGCTGCAGACTTGTGCGAAGACACATCGAACAGTCACAGATATCTTCTAATTTCGACCCAACAGAGTTCATCGACAGCGTCACTGCAAATTTAACGACGAATTTAAACAATATGATAAGATTCATCAATACTGCGATACATTCTGGGATTCCAAGTGGGGTACTGATGAGTCACCAGCTCAGTGTATTATGTGGATATGTCAT